ATGACGTGAACATTTTGCGAAGTAATTTAAGTAAAAAATAAGTTCACATTAATTGCACCATCTGTACCCTTAGTACGAGTTTGAGCTCACGAAAACTAGCATAGTTTTCGTAGTTGTAAATTATGTTTCTATGTCCATTTTGGTGAAAAGTAACCAAATATACTTAAAATTTGTGAAGACGCAAATGATTTAATAATAGAATTTAAACACTGTTTATTTGTATTGAAACGAAAACAATAAAATCAGTACCCTTAGTACGAGTGCGAGCTCACGAAAACTATCATAGTTTACGTAATTGTAAAACTCGTACTAAGGGTTCTGAATTGCCACTGCAAACATAGTTATATCTGGAAATTAAGAATGTAACCATGGTATTTCACACGTCCCACATTGGCAACGAAACACGCGGCAACATCGGTACGCGTCTCGCATACAAATCAGTCCTTTATTATTTAATTTGCTTAAGTTTTACCAGGCGTCAAAATATAAAAACACGAAACACCAGCATAAGGAGACCTCCCAGCCCTCTTGCCCGATCGAAACTTTATAGCTAAAAATTAAACTTGCTCGGTGACATGAAGGTCAGATTACGCTGGCATTTATTATCGTACTTATCATGACGCTTGCACGCGATTCCGTCCGTAATGTAATATGGACTACAAGAGATGCATACAAATTAGAATGAGTGTGGCGATTTCTTCTCCAAAGCAAAGGATGACATATCGTTTTTACAGCTGTCAAGGTGTTTGTTTTAATAAAATTTATATTTATCCGAAACGCGAAAGTGCCGTTGTCTAAACAATGCCCGATGAAATGTTAACTTATATTTTCTTTCTACCTATGTAGTAGATATTTTTAGAAGCGTAAAACTAGTAACTTGTTTTCGACTAGCCGATCAAGTTGCGTTGGATATTTTAGAAAACGAAAGTATGTAGGTATAATAATTGTATACTTTTCCTTGTTCTATCAAGGAAAGTAACAATATAAGGTATTAGTAAGTTTAATTATTAAGAAATTAGTTTTTTTTGTAGGTGTCTAGCAAACGGTTTAACGATAAGGTTTTCTCAATAAACCACAGTGGACTGTAAACTAGTCGACGTGTGTCAACTGCCGGTTGACTAGTGTCATGCGAGCGAGACCGAGAGACGGCAATCATCTCGGCTTCCCACAAGTGGTATTTTAAGTTCCATTAACTTAATTGTGAACTGACTCCTTCCGGCAGATGTGATTTAAGTCGGGCTGTTTATTTTTTGTACTTAAAATTGTCCGCAAATACTTGTGATGGTTATATTTCTTTTATTTATTTGTTTGTTGCTCATTGTAAAAGGGTATGTTGTTTAAATATGTATATATTTTTTTTGTTATTTTAATACCTTTATCACATGTTTATGCTTAACATTATAACTCATTTTATAAATTAAACAGCTTAGTAGGTGAGTAAAGCAAATTATATCTTTGAAACTGTAACATGTAACATAATAGCAACATATATCTTTCATACAAGTTATAAACATATGATTTGTCATTTTACGTGAATGGTATTTGTGATTGTATGTTATTGTCATTATTCGGTATAATTTCACAAGAAAACTAAAAAAAATGATAAAGGTAAAATCAGTAGTATATTTATGATATTATGAATCTAGCTTCTAGGCTTCCATTTTTCTGAAAAATATGTACCAAAATAACAATGTTGACAGAAGTGGCAGAGCTAAGATAAGATATTATATGAGACGCTTATTGCATCTAAGTTAACTTTTAGAATATATGTGACTTAAGTCACGTAGCTTGTTATTTGCGAAAAAAACTAGATGGGTCACATTTACAAAGGTTCGGTCGTCCTAAAGAGTATCAACGGAACCGTGTAAAGCCTTTGCTGTCCGTCCGTTCTTCTGTCAATGAAAATTTCCGTAATCGGTGCAATTGCCTCTATAACAATAAAAATTATATGAGAAATTCCATACAAAAAAATGATATTTTTTTTCTAACGTTTTCGCTTAAATTCGCTATTTTATATGAGGAGCTGGCAAAGAAAACGGTATAATTACATAAAATTAAAATTTCTAACAGCTTTATAAAACTGAATCACATACCTCCAGTGAGCTGTTGGCATGGTTTTTAATTTATAAATTTAGTAATTTTAACACTGTTTTAGGCGTTTTTGATTGAAAATTAAGTATATGAGGTTCAAATTGAACTGGCTTGAAATTGAAATTGGCTCTAAAAAAGTAGTTTGACCAGATGCGTAATTATACCGTTTTGTTCGTCAGCTCCTCATATATAATAATAATAATAACATTTATTTCAGATTATTCCTTCTCAATATATATTTTAAAAAGTTAAATCTTGTACAGATTAGTATGACTGGCACTTGGCCGTCGCCGGATTTTTCGTCCAAGTCCAACAAAGACTAAATAATGGTGTAATAAATATTGTAGTGGTTCGATTACAATTTTTTTCGTTAACATGACAAGTAGGTAGGAACATAAGCATTTTTTTTAATCCTTTTGACAAAAATATAAAAACCCTGCTGACTTTAAGTTAACGAAAGTCTTTTTTTCACAATTTTGGCGTTAAATATTAATAATATGAGCGATTAAATATTTGTTTAACGCAATAAGCACGAGCCACTGTTGATTCTGATAAGGTGAGACGAAATATCACTAAACCTACAAAACTTTTAGACATGGCTACCTGTTTATTGTATAATAAATAATATACAACGTATAAATATGATAATAGTAAGTCTGTGCATTCGCCCGGATAGCGAAGGGTGAGGGTTCGAGTCCCGTCTGCTGCCTGGTCCGCGTGTAAATTTTTCTAGTAAAATTTTCTTTAGATTTAAACATCTGACAGTTAAATGCTTACGAAATAAAAAATATATTGTTTGAGTTAACTAATATTTCATGTATTATTATTGATGACTAGCTGTGCCCCGCGGTGTTACCCGCGGATTATTAGGGATATTTACCCGCAGTAAAACGTAGCCTATGTGTTAATCCTGGATGTCAGCTAACTCCATACCAAATTTTATTAAAATCGCTCCAGCCGTTTAGACGTGAAGAAGTAACAAACATACACACACAAACTTTCGGCTTTTCTAATATTAGAGGGATACTTATTTTATCAAGAGCTGTTTAATATAAGTTGTATATTTAAGTTCAACGTGGTTGTTATAATCAATAATTTTGTTTACTTCTTATACGAGGTGGTTCTCTTTTCTTATAACACTCCGGACCCGAGATTAAATAAACTCCGACGGGATTGCATCTCGGTTACAATGAGTAGAAACTACAAGTAATTTTGAGTATAAGATTTTAAGTCTTCTAATCATATTTGTCTTTTGCGTTCATATTTTCCGATTTCCATTTGATATTAAAGAAATGTTAGTTAATTCGTAGGTTTCTTTATGAAATTAAGTACCAAGTAATTGTTAAAGCTAATTCATTATTATTTTATTATGTTATGTATGATATAAGAATTCATTTATATGTAAGCAAACTTATGGTTAATATATGCGTGAAAATTATTAAATAGTATTTAAGAATTATATTTTCGTATATGTAAATTTTGTTAATTGGTTTTCAGTGAATTTTTTTTTGTGTATCATCTCTTATTATCCTATTCTTACTGAAAATTCTCAAATTATATTTGTTTCTTTGGTTTTCACGCACAAACGTCAATAAATAAATAAAGTTTCGTGCATTAACCCGTAAAAACTAGTTTTATTTAATTCTCAAATTATTACAAATGCTGAGATATTATAATAACATGTATGGTTTAGTGGTTAAAGCAGTTCTAAGGATCCCAAATGATAAAGCATCGATTTCTAGCTGTATTATATACAATTAATAAATATATATACAATTAATACGTAAAAATATTTCATAAAAGTTCCCCAGAAGGGAATCTTACTTTCATTTGTTTTTAATAACAAAGTAATTAAGTCTTTGAAACATTTTTTACTGTATTAATGTGCCATTTTTATGTCTATGAAAAGGATTATATTAGTTGCATACCAGGAGTAGCGAGATAGAATGAACAAATATTAAGTTGATGCGCCTGTCACTCAAATAGAAGACACTGCGTGGAGCGTATCTTAAAGAGATAGTAGCTATTTTATTGTTCATTCCATCATATTCATAAGGTTCTTGATGTAGTTGAATTTTCATTAAAAACAAAACAACACTGGCCGTGTTCAAAGATCAAAGGAAATATATTATACGGATAACAAAAGACGGTGCGAATTTCACTTAAGAATACAGAAGTTCAGCCAAAAAACCGTAAATTTCATTGTAACACGACATTATAGAATTTGATATTCAAACACGCATGCAGTTTAAATAGTAAGCAACTACGCACACACAACAAAGTCGTAGGTTGTATCCGTGTTGGATATGTAAAATTCTACACTTACGAGTTTTTACTCGACACGATAACGACAAAGGCTGATCGCACCGTAAGCTGTAAAACGATGGTAAATCTCACATACATATCTCTAAGGCCCGCTATCATTACGCGTACTAACGTGAACACCTGTTTAACGATTCGTTAATAGCTTCACGTGAATTGAAGTATAAGGACCGACAATGTTACTGTAGCTATACCTAACTATAAATTTGTATTTCGTATATTCCTAATGCTGCTATAGCGTCAATTGTTTTTAAGTTTTTTACCATAACAGAAGCAAATCAAGATGTGGTGTGTTGAACATGTGGTTTGATTAGTAATAAAGCGACTTTGTTGTGTGATAGTACTTACTTCAACTTTAATTATGATGCAATTTCGACTAGCTTAGGAAGGAGATGAAAGTTAAATTATATGTGACACTAAGGTTCATTTAGGATATATTTGTGAAGGGTTCACAATTATATTAGGTGAGAAATATTCACGAGACATGCGTGAACGCAGTGACTTAACGTCAAATTTTAAGTGTAAACACAATATTTTCGGGCATGGCACAAGCAACATTTATCCAAAACAGACACTACAATACTTACCACCACATACTGCCACGTCCTCTCCGAGGTTTGCCGGCGGCTTCGCACCTCAAACACAGAACTGTGAGCACTAACAACCACAGACACTTCATTCTGCGATGGGCGGAACCGTTTGTTACATGAGTGCGATCGGTCGCGGCGCGGGCACTTCTGCCGAGAGAGCCGTGCTCGCCGCGAGGCGGGGTCCCAGATGGTGGGAGGCCGCACCTGGACCGCCGCCCGATTGGTCTCTTGCTTCTGATTTTTTCACTATTAATCTTTGTTAACTCGCTGATTATGCAAGCCGCAAAGAAAACCAACACTGCAGCTTGGAACTTTCGAACTAAGCCATTTGTACAACGTCAACAGGAGCTTTAAAATTAAACAATAAAAAGTTCATTACGGTTTCATTAATTGCGGATTTATGGCCGACGGTCATCTGAGTTTTTTTTGTGTAGCCACAACAGATGCATGCACAATAGATCTAGCTCCTTTTATCTCTAACATCGTATGAATATGTTATTAAGTTGATCGGACTCGCTGATGATAACGCACTCGAGAGATCCAACAGGTTACGCTAGTTTTTGCATCGCTGATCGTTGCAATTTCAAATAGCTATAATTAATGTATATTAACGAGCTGATTAATAAACATAATTCAATTACATTCGATGTTTTTTCTGCCTGTTAATAAAGTGAGCGTTTAATTTCAACGTGAGATAAAATTATATTTCAATTAATAAGAATGACGAAGCCTTAATTAATTTATTGTAAATAGTTTAATTATTTATATGTTGGGCTTGCATTTATTACTATCATTTAAAAATAATTATTATAAACAAAATTAGACAAGTGACGATAATACATTAGCATTAATTTTCAATTCAATTCAATATCATAATGAAAAAATCAATATTTATCATAAATTATTTTGAAGGAGATAAAGAAGTGTATTAACATGATTAATAGACAAATACACAATCTTTGCCCGATTCATTCAAGAGTCAATAGCGAGATTCCGCCGAGCGACAGGAACAGCAATATCTCGCGTCGTCTCCAGCATGACTCATCAGTGGGTGGGGCTTGCGGCGGCGACCAATGGGGACGAGGCCGACCGGCGCCCGCGCAGCGCGCACGTGTCTTACGGACTACTTGGAATTTTTTCAATAAATTTACGTAAAATTTGAATTCCAAGCACAAATTATTTAGCTTGATGTAGCAACGCGTCTTTTTTTTTTATCCACAAAGTTTCTTTCCTACTTATTTATTTTAACCTATTTTTTCTAATATAATATACTAATTAATGTGATGTGAAACAGATGCTACCCCAGCAAGAATTATTAACTCTAAATAACCTATAAACGGGGAGTTACGACGCTCATGAACTATCTCTCCATAATAAAGACTTCAACGCAATCGAATCATTAACCAACCATTTATGACTTTGCGTTGGCAATAAATCACTTAATGGAACTATTATAATCAACGACAGAATAAGTTTTTATTATAAAATCTTTATCTATGATTGGTAGGGCATAGCGGATTTCTCGCTCTAATAGGAGCGTCCATCTGTGACATCTGTGACCACAGTGGAAATACGCATGTAACTAACTATCGTTTGGTATGGTATAGAATGTAGGTACTTAATGTGTTTCTGTTAGAGATTTGTTAAAATATAATATAAATATAATAAATATTCCCAACTCACACCAATTAGCCTAGCCCCAAAGTAAGCACTATAGGCTTGTGTTATGGGATACTAGGGTAACGGATACAATACAAATACTGATACATTATATAAGTATATTCATATAGAAATACATATTTAACATCCATGACTGGAGTACAAATGCTCGTATTCATCACACACACATCTGCCCCCATCGGGTTTCGAACGCGGGACTTCTCCAGTTGCCAACACCTTGAAACCTGGCGTATAAACCACTCGGCCATGAAGGTCGTCAAAATGTTAAAGCAAGCAATCGAGCTGCTAGTCCATTTGTTAGTAAGTGGTCACTGTCGCCCGTGGATACTTGCAGCACCAAGGTTACCTCAGCACCAAGGTTACCACTCATGAGTTGCCGGCCATGAAGGAAAAGGTTTGCCCGTCTTTTGAAATCCGTAATATCATAGCTAAAAGGCAAACCTCTGATGGAAGTTCATTCCAGATCTTGCTGGTACCTACACAAGAAAAAGGAACGCGCGTAATTCAGCACTATGCATTCGCCAAGCGTCCAGATGGTGGAGGTAAAACTTCTCTGTGCCGCGAGAATGTTTAATTTCCAGGTTTCTACGGGGCAGTATAGGCAATAACGCACGAGTGATAAATAGATATTCTGGTATCGCAATCATCTATATGTTGTGGTGACCTCTTATCATCAGACTGGCAAAATGCTTATTTGACACCATTGTTACACAAAATAATATAATCTATTTATGGTAGTATTCTGAATTCCATAATTCAAAGTTTCTGATTAAGGGCCTTATTTTATTAGATCACCATCGAAGGAACATTGGGACTGTGTATGGACATTGTCTATGGAAATTTGCTTTCAAAAGTGTACCATGTAAGGGATTGAGACTAAAGTGCAACAGTCACTACAAGGGGAAAAGCTTTTCTGGGTTGATTGACACCAAAAGCTCATCTTGTCACACAAGCTTCTTAGCAAATAATGCAGTAGGTGGAGGCTTTAAAAGAGGCGCAAAGAAGCAACATGCAGGCCGGCAAGGTGAGGATGGCTGGTGTGGCAGGTAGAACTGCTGTACCAGGTACCTTCATGTCTGTACCCTTAGCACGAACCAATATCGAATTCGTATCGTTTGCGAGTCCAAAATGACATTGTCAAATGTGTACTGATTTTGAGTTCTCGTTACGTACTTTGTGCCGCTACTGTTCAAATTTCCATACAAAATTTGATACTGACATTTGGGTTTGCAAACTATTCGAATTCGATATTGGTTCGTGCTAGGGGTACTGAACTTCACCGGCACTTAACTTCAGGTGGGGTGGAGACATTTATCGGACCTATCTTTAAAAAAAGAGAAAAGAAAAAGGTACAGTAATATAGCTCATGAGGATTGGGGTTGGGGTTACAAAAGTACTTATCGAGTACTTGAACTCTTTCTCCTTTCAATTTTGTCTTACTTTTTACAAATTTAGGTATTACCTACTAACGCTTACATATAGGCTGAAATTCGATATTTTTAGTTCTTCTGCCAAAGAATCACTGTTTGTGCTTTAGACGTATGGTAGTCTGATAAATGTTAAATGTCATTGTTATATAAAAAAATATTAGCTTTATAAACTCCGCCACATTAATTTAACCATGCAAAATATGAGTTTTTCTCTTATCTAATATAAACTTAGCTGTGATATATATCAAAAGACAGGGAAACATTTTCCTTCAGAGCTGCAAGTGCAAGTGCTGCAAGTGTCCATGGGCGGCGGTTGACCACTTACCATCAGGTGGACTACCAACTCGTTTGTCTCCATAAAAATATCAAAATCAAATCAAAATAAAAAATCATTTATTCAGTCTAGGGTGTTACAAGCACTTGTGAAGGTCAAGAAGCTACGCCATCGGTTCGCAAAACTACGGCGGGAGACCTTGTATTGAGAAGAACCGGCAAGAAACTCAGCAAGGTCTGTTTTTTCTGTCCCTGTATTGTTATGCACAGAGTCGTCAAGTTGAAAAATGACTTCACAGATACTTCTGAAGTCTCCTTCCATTACATCATTTAGGATATAGATAACTTTAAATTTAGTATATAGGAAGCGGCATTAGATAGATGGCATAAAAGATAAGAAGATGGCATAAGCAGCATAAAAAAACAAACTCCTCCGGTTGCAAAATGTCCTTAAACAGGGGTACTTAGTACGAACGTATATTAATAAACAACTAAAAGTCAGCACGTGTCGATAACCAGATGTTCATCAGACGATTTGTCTTAGTTGTAGTATGTGGGGTAGATGTGCCACTTAATAGCATATCCTTGTTGTTAAGTAACAGACCGACTAACGCACTTCCGTATCCGCAATGTCATTAAACATTTTACCCCTAGGAAGGGATAAATCGCTACATCTGTGTGCTATAAGGCTAAAAATCAAGATTAGATTTTTTCTTTAGTTTTGAAGTAACATTCAACGACACTTAAATTTACTGTAAACTGAAAATTTTTCGCGATAAATATTGGGAAATTATATCAAAGATCAGGTTGATTGGTAACGGTTGCCTTTTAAGCATACAGAGAAGATAAAAACCAGTTGCCAAGTTAATGAATGCTCAACAATGAGATAAAAATGTAAGTCAACGATTCACAAAAGAAAGATATATGCCTTCCTGATATTAACAGCTCCCTATGGAATGTTGATTTTTTTCATCAAAACTCGTGCCAAAAGCTAACAAAGAGGCTTTCATGCTAAACCGTTTGAAATCAACAGTCACCTACCGTAGATGAGCAAAATAAATACTTAATTAGACACGCAACCTGGGCGTTTAACGGAATCCTATAATAGCTAACACTATTAAATTCAATTTGGTGGTGACATAAAACTTCTTAGACAAAAAATTAACCTTAAAATTATCTACGTTAGACCGAGAATGCCTCGCAGTGAAACAGCGATAATTCAACTTCATTCACTGAAACAGAAGTGTTGTACAAAAGGCACCGTGAAATCTACACTAGTGAACGAAAAAGCGACTCATTACGACCATTATACATTCAGAAATGTGACATAATGGAATTTAGCACTTCGGCTAAAGAAAATAAAGTTGCGTATCGAATGATAAGCGGAATGAGGTAGCAAACTTTTCACGGACCACTGAACTTGTAGTGTTAATTAACAATGGCGTGTTTAAGTGTTATACCGAGTAAAAACGTCGTAAGTGCAAATTTAATTGTTTCCCGGGAACAATCACCGCAATGGAGAGCTTTATGTGTTCATTCAAGTTTAAAGTATTTTATTTTATCATCATCAATAGCCTATTAATGTCCTCACTGACCACAAATTAGTGTGAATTGGTAGGTGCGAATATAGGAGATAATGCGTGCGTATTCAATCGAAAATGTTAGCTTAAGCGGGCTCCACATTCCTACCTAAACTATTTCAATATTGCCAAATACTATTGGCGTAGTTTAGT